TGGCGAAGCGGTACCAGAGAGCGCTGAAGTCCCGGAACAGTCTGGTCTGTACCCCGGCTCCGAGCTTATACTCCCACCTGAAGTCGTGAGCTTCATCCGCGAGAAGCTTATGCCTACCGCCCAGTACGACGTCTCATCCGCCCTGGTACCTCTTCGGTACCAAAGCGAAGGGCTCGGAGGCTCAACCCGACCCTGCTGTGGAGCTGATGCGGCAGAAGTTCGAGAAGGCGTACAATGTACGTGCCCCTTCAAGGTATCTACTCTCGGCCAAGATCTTCGCCAAGATCCGTAAAGGCGAACCGGTGCGCGAGGACGAATGCGGTTTCTCCCCAGTGAGCGCCAAGATGAAAAGGCGCATGAAATACAACGCCGATACCGGTGAGATTGAGGTTGTGGAGGACGTCCCAGCCTGGGACTCCCAGGCCTACCTCGCTCGTCATTCGGAGCCGCGGATTTGCTGCTGAACATATCGAATTGGCTGATCGGCCACTGCGTGCTGCAGTAGCTCAATCCTGCGGAAGCACTCCTCTACGTAATGAGGTTGTGCGACAACGGCCTGCAGTCGGACATCCTCCCCCTAAGGTGCTTGGACGCAGAGATGAGAGTCTCATCATGAGACTCGAAGCCATCGCCCACCCGACGGAGATTGGCCCTCAGCTGGTCACCGGCAACTCCGACATCGTCACCCGTCACAGGGAATCGTTCAGATCTACTCCATCCTCTGGCCACGGGCCGCGCGCTAACTCTATCTCCAATCCCTCTTCGGTAACATGTCATCGTTCCGAGCGTACAGGGTGGTGCCCTTACGGAGACGATTGCATCTTCGCCCACAAAACCGGTGCAAAAGGCCACGTCGTGGCCGCCACGACACTCGTCGGCAGCACGGCCGCGGCCGTGGCGGCAACACCCAGAACCAAACCCCCAGTAAGTGGGAGAGTGCCCAGCCCCTGCCGTGGCATAGTCAGCGACGCTGACTCAGCGTCCTCGCAGTGGGTTCCGGCCTAAGTTATCCTTCTCATTTTCCCTCGCCTCATCATCGTGTGTGATATCCGTGCGGCGCAGTCGACTATCGACCTTGTGTTGGGCGTCCACGGACAAGTCGTAGTACTCGACAAAGCGTTGTCTCTTGAACTCGTCGATGCGTTGAGCAATAGTACCCGATCGAACCCTTCGGATTAAGAGTCCTCCGGGAGGACTCCTCCCCCTTAGGTGCCAGCGCGGCACTCACCCAAAAGCGCCTTCGTACGCACACATTGCGTGCGTACAAAGGCGTACCACGCAACCAAAGCCCCAGCCGGCAGTGACCATGATTTCGGTAAAGCCAT